TAATATTCTCTTTCCCACAAGACTTCAGATCTTGAGAGAAATTATTATAATCCTATCAATTTGGCTATTCCAGGAGAGTAATTACAATAAGATGGCAGGTAAAGGTTGCTTAGTTTTCCCATTCCTTTCTCAAAAATCATATAATTGGAGCAAAACAGAATTGAAGTGAATTAAAATATGAAGAGATGTCAACATAATTTTTTCATAAAAAACATAAAAATGACACAAGAATAATGTATAGAATCATACAGTTACTAAGAAACATAGCTGAATTAAACATAAACACCTTTCCTTACTCAGTTGTAAAAAGGCATAAAAGAAGTTTAAAAGAATCATGAGTTCCTTTGTACATCTAGGTTCTATAAAAATGCCCTTTTGTGTTTATGTAATCTGTGTGGAAAAGAATGGAGAAATCCTTACTTTATGCAGGTTAAAAAACTACATATACAAATATAATAGTATAACTAATTTCAAGTTTTGCCATGATGAAAACCAGTAAGTTACAGTAGTCACTAATAAAAAAGAACTGTTCTTAATTGGAAGTAATTAGGCATATGAAAGACCTCAAAGGAAAAAAAGTAACAGGGCCTACACTTTTCTTTATATTTTTCTTGCCAAACTAATGTAGTTATATCATTCCATATCAAAGGAGACATATAATGGATATCCCCAAATTTCTGTTGATAGTGACCTATAAATTCAACCATATAAATTTTCAGAGCATATTCTGGTATAACATATAATAAAGGGTCAATACAATCTAAGTGCACAGTCATTCTCGAAAAAGAATCTCATTTTTAAAGGGTCAATTGGATTGCTGATTTAAAGACTGTGTCAAATGAATACTGGCCTAATCGCTTATTCTGTTTTTACTACTCAATACCACTATGCTTGCTTTCTGTAACCCCTAGATTCTAACAAAAACAAATACTATCAGTGTTTTTTTAAAGAGCACTATAATTCTTGTTAGCTCATTTGATCCTCACAATGTCCTGTACAGCAGGTCTCAAAGCCCCAAATTACCTTATCCTCATTTTACATCAAAGAAATTGAGACAAAGAGAAATTAAATCACCTGTTCAGTTTACATCATTATTATGGGTCTTTTGAATTCCAAGCCCAGGGCAATTTTCATTACACTAGACTATGTTAGTCATCCAAGTATGATAATATATAAATATACCTTAGGCATGTCAAAAGCAATATAAATATCATCATAGTGAAAATTTGGTATGTTTACATTTTCTAAGCTTCAGCCAATGATCCACTATTTTATGGAAAAATTTTAAGTAGTTCCTTTTATTTCATGAAGATATAGTCTACACCAATAAAGTTACAACTTCAGTTATTTCCAGCAATTATCACAAAGAAACTAATGAGGTAGGTTAAAATGTAGTTAATTTCCCTCATTTGAAGAGATTCTTAGAATTTTCTTAAATCTGCTCCAAGAAACAGTTTTAGAAAAAGAAAATCATCATTAATAAAGGTTTACTTGAATATTCATTCACCCAACTAGTATACAAAGATCTAATTTCACATAAAACCAAGAACCTACTTACTTCTAAAAACTGCTATTCACCTTTTAAAATTAATATAAAGTATTAGTATAAGTTTGTATATATATTTAATTAAAATAGTAATATGTACTGTTACTCTAGGAGAAATAAACTTTATTTGGTGCAATTCATTGATTATTACTTGCCACATATTATTCCGGTAAAGCAGAGACTCATTTTACTTAGCTTAAATTTAGATTCTTCAAATTTCTTTAAACTGAGACTATCACGACTAAAGTGAGTTGCATAACATTCATTTATTTTAATATTTTAATTGAAAACCTACCATGCCCTCTTCTAGTTGCTGAGTTATTAACTGTTCTTTGAAACTAATTATTGTTTCGAGCTTAACACTGTTTTGAATTGTTTGCTTTAATCACTGAAAAAATCCAATACAATATTGCTGAAATCAGAGTACTTTTTGAAAACTTTTTGGTTATATGTTAACATTTTAGAGAGAACTATTATTTTCTCAGTTGTCAACTGAACAAATAAAATACTAAACATTATCATCTGCCAATCACAACACTAATTAAACATATGGTAAGAAAGCTGTCCAGACTTGTTCAAGTTGGTTTAAGCTAGTTGAGACTTGAAATTGTTGTTCTGCTGTAGTTCTTCAACTGTCTCTTTAAAGAAAAAAGCCCTAATTCGGAGCACTAGTTGGATAAATAACACAACCCAAACTAAATCTGTTATTTAAAACGACGGATTAACAATATTAAGTAAATTCTGTGAAGCAAAACTAAGATAGTGAAAGTAACTGAAAGGCCAATAAAGCATTTACAAATATATCAACAGTTTAATAGAGAAGATACAAATGAATATTTAAAAATCAGGAAGCACAGGGTTAAGATTTTCACATTGATGTTCACTTAACTGTCTATACTTGGCCCACAAAGAAACCAATTAACATTCTGGCAATGGATGATATAATGCAGATGGCAATGAATGACAGCATCTTTGAGCTCAAACTGGTACCTTCTCTGCTAACTTATTTTTGTGTCTGAATGTTTGTTTTTGTCTTTCATGCTGTTCTCAGGAGAAATCCTCAGACAAAAGCCTCATGAATTAGATTTATTTATAAATGAGTTGTTACCAATTTGATCTTCAGAGTAAAGGTCGACTGTCACATGTGAGGGAATTCAGGCTCTACTTGTCTTGAGTATTAACTCCAGTTTCAAGGAGAAAGACAATGAGGATGGAGGAAAAAGTAAAGCATTTGAGCCAAATGTTCAAATATCTTATGAAGAATTAATAATAAATATTAAGAAATATGTACTGTGAAAGAAAAAAAATGACAGGCAAACAAATTATTATTATCAGAAAACTGACTTCTGTGCCTGATGAAAGCTTTTCCAACACCAAATTTCTTGGTACATTTTGTTTTAAAGAAGGAGAAGAAAAAGTCCACATGAATTCAAACACATGTCAAAGATTGTACTATGGTAGCCCTCAAACAAATATCTTAAGTCCTCAATAATCTTAATCCGTTCTAGTTCATAACACTAAAGCTTTCAAAGAGCTTTCAGCTTTCATATGATTTTTTGTCTGATACTTATTGACAATTTTGTGAGGTAGGTATTTATTTTCTATCTTCATTCAAAAACAAGGGAACTGAGGCTCAGAGAAATTAACTTGTAAAAGGTCAAAAACTAGCACATGGCAAAGCCAGACCTCTCTGGAGTCTAGAATATTTGTTAAAGTTTGATTCTTGGATATCTGCATAAGAATCACCTATGACATTAATATTTTTATGATGACAGATTTTTAAAGTCCTACCATCATCTTTGACTTACTGAGCACAGATTTTTAGGAGTGGGGTCCAAAATTCCAGTTGTAGATCAATCAGGTAAAGGATATAAAAGCCTAACACTGAGTCCAGCTAGGTTTTCATATGATATAACATGATGCCATCACATTGTCAGCAGGGGCAAGTTACTTTCAAACAGCCTGCAGTCAGGCCTGCAGCAGATCAGAATCATTGGGGAAGCATTTTATAAAACTAGCAGTCCTCATCTCAATGAGAGGAAGGAGTCAGGCATTGCCCGAATGATTCTTATCTGTAGTCAGGGTTGAGGATGGCTTGTTTAAATATGCTTGTCTACATAATACATCCAGCATTTTCCAGAATTTTTCTTTCCCTTACGATCATTATCATGCCTAATAAAGTTTACAATTTTTATTAGAAGTTATTTAAATATTACAAGACAAAATGTCAAAGATTTTTGAATTGATATTTTTAAAGTTAAAAGATACTTCACAGCAGGACTAATTCATGCTACAATGAATTTCAAATATCCCAAATTAATCACCACTGTGGACTTGGGTTATATACATATTTCAGCTGTAAACAAGAACGACCCAGAATCTGAAGACAGGGGTGTGGGGCAAAAGCTGTAGCTTATCGGCTACTGGGCAATGCGAATGCGAACAGTAAGTCCACTGATAGGAGGGGTCTGGATACCAACATCTGGCGGCTTTGGCAAGATTACATCTCACTGCAAAAAACACAGTAACAGATACAGAGGAAACACTTTGCTGTTTTTTAACTATGGTTACTACAAAAAGACTTACAGTGTGTGATGCTTATCTTATTACATGCTTCCATAGAACATATCTGAACATGAAGTTCTCTACAAATCAATACTACTACATGGGAAAAAATGGCTAAAAGTAAAAATTTTCTGTCATGCATATGGATAAGTTATCAATATAAAAACACAGCCAGTAAAAGTAATATTTACAAAAGTAATAAAAACAGCACAATTACTGAGAAAAAAATGCCCATCTCTGCTTTTACTCTGTTGCTAATCCTACTCCTGTATTTCTCTGGATAAAGACTATTTTGACAGAATTTCAAAAGAGTCTTCAGTAGACTAATCAGATTCTTCAGTTGCTTTTATATTCTATTAGCTAAAATACCCTTGCTGATTTATCAAATTCTCTTACAGTTTAAAAACACAGTTCTTTTTCACTTAGTGGAAAGAAAACTACAAAGTCCTACTATTCATCTGAGAAATAAACCTTGCATAGAAAATTTCTTTAATTCTGAAATTTTGTTTTATTAACAGAACTACCAGAATGTTACCTCACAACTAGTTGATATTATATGAAAGTTCACTATAAAGCAGTCACCATACATTTAGGATTTTTCCAAATATAAAACAAGTGGGTTTATAAAAATGCTTACCAGACAAATAATTATTTCTTCATAACCTAGAAATAAGAATTATTTATGTGATGATATCATTCTTAGCATTTTGGATGCCTTGAGGTTCCAAGTTTGATGCAATATAAAAAGCAAAAATTTACTTTTCAATAGACACAATCTGCACCTGACTGAAAGCATCTTAACAGTGAGTTATAGCAATCAGTCATGCAAAGGCAAAGAATAAAATCTGCTTTTTAAACAGCACAAATTTTCCACCTTAGACAGGACAATTTAAGCACTGGTTCCATCTTCTTCAATAACCCGATTCATGCTGGTACCATGTGTGATGTGAGTCATAGGATTATTACTGAGATCTCTGATGCTGCTATGTCGTGACTGTTCATTGAGCCGATGGGAACTACTGTGCCTGGAGTGATCTGTAAGTCGTGACATGCTGCCATGAGGTAGTCTCTCCTCCATTCCTCTGTAACTGCAGGGAGTGTACCTAATGTGGGAGGTAACAGAACACACTAGAAAATAACACTAAAATTTTTCATGAAAATAAAACTGATTTACAAAATAATTTCATGATTTACATTGTTGAATTATTCAAATGGCCAAACAAAAGGGAGAAAAAAAATCTACTAATTAGGCTCAGAATTAAGAGCTGCCTTGCAAAGAGACAGAAGCTGAAGTTAAGCAGAGCCGACTGATCTAGAACTATGCTAAGTAAGGATACTTCTCTCATTCAAATAAGTTTTGGATTGTGAGGTGGGTCTCGGGAGAGGAAGAACAAGAACAGAAGAAACATGGCATCATCCCAGGCAATCTAGAAGAATGGTGACAGTCATGGTACAGCAAACTCCAATTTCACTACAACCCTGGGAGTGGAAAAGGGAGCATATGAAATTAGAGGAGAAATTAGCAGAACCTTAAAAAAGTGAGGGAGTTGGCAAGCAACGATGATGCTTAAAGTGTGGACAGCTTCCTTCCAGAGAGCCCAGTTAATAGCTCAGTTAACTACCTGTAAATGGTCTTACTTTTCATTAGGGCTTGCAGCTGTCAGGATGCTAGTTCATAAAAGCTACTTAATATAGTACCAACTTAAATACACAACTAACAACCTCCCAATGCTCTGTAACCCATGAAGCAAATTCTCTCCTTATCCCTTCCCCAGGATGCAGCTTCGGAGTGTGTCAACTGGGTTCCATTGCTCATCACAGGCCATCCTCTCCATCATTCTATTTATCTTGAAAGGCAGCAGTGGGACCTGTTAAAATTTTCTTTTGTTGCGATTCTGATTCACTGAGTCCCTATTAGAGCTAAGAAAACTCAGTCATATATACTATATGTGCGTGCATGCTAAGTCACTCAGTCGTGTCCAGCTCTTTGTGTGACCCTATGGACCATAGCCTTCAGGCTGCTCTGTCCATGGGACTCTCTAAGCAAGAGTGCTGGAGTGTGCTGTCATGCTCTCCTCCAGTGGATCTTCTTGACCCAGGGACTGAACCTGTATTTCCTGTGGCTCCTGCATTGCAGGTGGATTATTAACCACTGAGCCACCGGGAAAGCCCCCCCATACACAGTTTTGTAAAAAGTATTTAATTTAGAATAACAACGATCAAAGAAAACAACCAAATATAATTAATACATTAAATTTTTAGTAGTATTTCTAAAAATAAAAAGGAGTTAGCAGGTTTTTCCTTTTTTAAAGTCATCAAAAGAACTAGTCATGAACAGCTGAAGACCTACTGGCTGTCAGAAAATACCAATTTATCATTTCTCTCAATTAATGATAACAAACTTCATGACTCACTATGAATCATTTGTAAAATTTAAAGATTTTAAAGACTGATTCATATACTACTGAGGTGATCTAGTCTTATATAGCAGTGCTTATCAAACAATGTTTTCATTAGATCATAAAGTTTAAAAATTAAGTCCTTTTAAAATGATAAAAGAAAGCATGTCTTTCTTTTCCCGTTTGAGTAAAGCAAAAATGAAAATTTAAGAATGAAAAACTACCTTTAGAATATTTTTAAATTTCTCAAGTTAATGGATAAAAGAGCATTTAATTTTTATTTATTAAAAGACTTCACATTCAGAACATAAAGGTTTTAAATTTGATTTGTAAGTTTTGATGAAATAATTACAATGTTGCAAATTAAAATAATGAAAATAAAATAAGCATGTTATTCTAGTTAATAATTATTTTACATGATAATTATTGCCCTAAACTGAAAATTTTTCTAACTATGACTTGCTAGCTAATTTGGAGAACTTTCACCTCTTGATGACTTCATAAATATCTAATTCAAGTAAATATGGCAAATGAAAAAAGCAAAATATGATGATATCAAAGTAATTAAAAATATGAATTACATTTTCTAAAACTGAAACCTAAATCTTTGAATTTAGTTTACTGAATAAGACTCAAAGAATAGCTTTTTCACAGAAAAAACTGAGTTATATCTATTTAAGTGAAATATATGGTTATTCACAAAATTCTAGTATATGAACCACCTGCCCATGGGTAATTAGGACTCAACTACACAGTAAAATGTCACCCACTTACCAAACTAACCACTCATTCTCAAATTCCATCCAGCTGCTCATCCATTTCCTTTTCTATATCCTCTCATCTAACTACCAATTACTTATTCTTTGAAGTCGATATATATGTGTAGGTATATTTACCTAAGTCTATTTTATTTTACATAGCACTGAGATCAGTAATTATCCATCAAGGAATCTGGAGTAGAATGAGTACTGAGAAGCAGATATGTGTGCATATGTGTAATCTCACAGCCAAGATAACATGAGATGATAAGAAAACCATGGCCAAAATATAGTGCTAACATGTAAACTTAAAAACTGACTGATGCAGAAAGAAATATCCATGAGATGGCATGCCCAAATTATTTCTAAAGTTATCTGACAGATTTATTTGTTTCCTCCCTCATGGCTCAGTGATAAAAAATCTGCCTGCCAATGCAGGAGACATGGGTTCGACCCCTGGGTCGGGAAGACCCCCTGGAGAAGGAAATGGCAACCCACTCCAGTATTCTTGCCTGGGAAATCCCATAGACAGAGGAGCTTGGCGGGCTACAGTCCATGGGGTCGCAAAGAGTCGGACATGACTTAGCAACTGAAGAACAACACAGGGCTAGATACTGTCAAGGGCTATACAGACACCTGTCAGCAAGTTCACATTCTCCAGAAACTGCAAACTTAGCTGAGGGAAAAAAAACTGTACTGAAAATAGGTCACACTCAAAGAATGTTTAAAAAGCAATTAATTAGCTGCCATGGTATGGGAATTAAGCAGAACTTGAAGGATGAGTGTGATTTTAATTAACCAGAGAGATAAGAAAGGCCATCACAGGAGGTCATACGCTATCCCCTAGTTTCCATGACACTAAACTTTCATAGAGACCTTCATGTGTTTATAAGCATTTTCTCTGAATCAAATGCTAGGCTATTCTTGTATTGTTTTCATTACTGTATCATGTTCTTCTCCTAGAAGGGGACAACAGAGTATGAGATGGTTAGATGGCATCACTGACTCGATGGACATGAGTTTGAGTAAGCTCTGGGAGTTGGTGATGGACAGGGAAGCCTGGCATGCTGCAGTCTGTGGGGTCACAAAGAGTCGGACACGACTGAGTGACTGAACTGATGATGACTGATGATCTTGTTCTTGGTATGTCCTTTTTTATTAAGCTTCAAGGAATTCCATCTCACAGCTTTTTAATTACCACTACCTTATATTAAAGATTATAAGCTTTCTTACCTAAAAAGTTTAATTTCATTTAGATTACAGAAGCTAAAATTTTCCTATATTTAACTCCCTTCAAAAATTCTCTGCTCAATATGAACTCATTACTTGTATTACCATTTGCTCACCCTATTTATCTCCTCTGAGATATTTTCAGAGAGGCCAATCTGATCATTTGAAGTCTGTAACACTGATCATCTCTAACACTCACTGTTTTAATTATATGCCAGCTTGAACTATTTTTAATTGGTTATTATGTATGTGTCATACCTTTCCTGTAAGGTTCTATTCTCCTAGAAAGCAGAAATCATACTTTAGCTTTCTTCTGTATCTCTCTTAATACACAGGAGCCACATGCATAAGAGCTGTGGTGTAACAGTTCACTCCTTACGGAAAAGGATGAGGCTAATAATGTCAACTATCAAACGCTGCTGAGAGTCAGTTCATGGAGCCATGCTATGTATCACGTCAGTCATGTCCAATTCTTTGTGCCCCTGTGGCAGGCTCCTCTGTCCATGGGATTCTCCAGGCAAGAATGGGTTGCCATTTCCTCCTCCAGACAATCTTCTCAACCCAGGGATAAAACTCATGCCTCTTATGTCTCCTGCATTGGCAGGTGGGTTCTTTACCACTAGTGCCAACTGGAGCTAGCAGGTCATGGAGGCAGGTGTTCTGAAAGATTCTCTGGTTTCCTCTCTTTCTATGAGTGTCTTAAGTTAAGAGCTCTAATTTTACTCTAGAAACTTCCCAACTGGGCTTACTTACAACCTCCTCTCCTATGCTGTTGTCAAAGTCATCTTCCTAAAACACAAATCTGATTTTATCACCCCAATGCTCAAAGTCTTTTAATAGTTTCTCATTGCTCTAGGGGAAAAAACCCCGAACTCCTCAGTATCTCTTACAATGGCCCTGATACCTAATTGCCTTTTCATCCTCCTTGCCTCTGCATATGCTGTTTCCTTGTCTGAGATTTCCAACTGCCTCCTCCGTACCCTAGTCAAATTAAAGTACTACCTCGTTTGTGAACAAGACTTTCCACAGTGACTTAAAAGGCTTTCTCCTCTGGAATTCCAAAGCACATTGTGTATATGATTTTATCATACCTACTACTCTTTTGTCTTCCATCTCTGCATTCCTAGCACCTAGAAGAATGCTTTTCACTTAGGAGTGCTGAATGAAAGGAAATGGCAGGAAAGAGAAAGGATCTTGGATGGTGGTTTAAAAACAGGTCATTGGTTATGTTAGAAGTTGGGCAAGAAGGTGAAAAAGACCAGAAATACAAGGAATGAAGGATGGAATTGGTAGAAAGGAAATATTCAAAATATTTCAAAAATCTGGCAAGGAAAATAAAAAGAAATGGATATAAGATAGAAAACATCAAAGATAAAGAAAGGCTGCTCCTTTTCAAAACCTAAGTAGCTGCGCAAGTTAGACTGCAGAAGAAAGCAAATTGAGAGGACAAACAGGAAGATCTAAAAAGAGAGTACGTCTAGGAATCATATCCTACATGACAAGGACAGGGAAGACTGAAAAAAAGGCTGAAATGAGACTGGAAGGATTCAGGACAGCCACGGAGACACAGAACAGAGAATTTCAGGCATCATAATTTTCATTCTTTCAGTTTCCCAAGCTTAGAAATCTTAAAAAAAAAAATTTCTTTTGGCACATTCCTTCTCTCCAACTGCTTTTACTCCATCACCAACTCTGATCATTTCATTTCTTCTTGTTAAATATCTTTCAGATCAGTTCTTACTGTCTTGGCACATCACTGTTCTTTCATAAAGCTCCATCATCTCTTAACTGAATTACTGCAGAGCTCCTAAGAGGTTTCTAATTGTAGTGTCTCTACCATCAAATATAACAAGAAAGCACATCCTGCCCACTCTCAGCCATTTCTCTGTGAAGCCTTCTCCCACCTCCTCCCCACCAGATTTAATCACCTCCTTGTTCATGCTACCAAACAGAGGCTGGCCAACTGTGGCCTGCTGGTCAAATCGGGCCCCTTCCTATTTTTGTGAACAGTTTTACTGGAACACAGCCACTCCTATTTTGACTGCATACTGTCTATGGCTGCTTTTATGGTATTAACAGCAGAAATGAACGGTGCCAACAAAGACCATGTAACCCACAAAGCCTAAAGTTATTTATTATGTTATTTCATTTATAATACAATATTTATTAGTTATTTTTCTCTTCATAGAAAAATTTGACAACCTCTGGACTATACCATTATATTTGCATTTTACTTTAATTATTACTTTATCATATTGATAATAAAAGTTGATAACAGGCACGTACTGAGACAGGCACTGTTCTGAGCAATTAGGTATATTATGTCATTTATTTTTTACAACATTGCTAAAGGGACAGATATTATTACTATTTCCATTTTACAGATGAGGAAACTGAGGCTTATTATTCTAGACCCCATGCTTTCAATTACAACACAAATGACTACTCCAATTTTCTTGAGCTTATTAAGAAAAAAGATCATGCCTAAATCAGTTTTGCATTCCCGGAGACTCACACAATGTCTGACATAGTAGGTACTCCATAATTGTTTGCTAAGTTAATCTCACTAAAATAACCACTTTTACTCTGCCTTCTCCCTGATGTGCAACGACTCCACATTGCTCACTGCATCGCGTCTAAACTCCTCTGACTGGCATTAAGTCTGACCATAATCTGGGACAACTGAACCTAGCAAAGTTCAGAAAGGTTAACAATGACCAACTTCTGTTTCAGAATTGGCTGCTCTTCCTTCGGACGCCGTGTGACTCTAACTCAGCACGTGAAATAAACTAAGCTGCTGATAAAACTCACCTGCCATCACGGGACCTGTGGAGGCTGCCGTGGTAGCTGCTCACTTTGCTGTGGACACTTCCTGCTTTGCTCCTCTGGTCATCCACCATGGCCAGCTGCGTTGAAGAAGCGTGTGTGGATGTCCCTTGAGTGGAAGTTCCTCTTGATTTCCTTATGATAGGAGTATTTGGATCCCTCAGCAGGGACTGAGCAAAATCGGGTTCCTGGAGTACCTGTCGGCTCTCATTCACTATCCTAGATGACAAAATACTAAGTGTAAGATAACAATCTACAGACCAAAAACAATACTGACAGACTGATGTTACTCTTCAAAAAAAAAGCTCTCCAACCAATGTCTTTAGGAGAGATGTAAGGTAACACTGTTGACAGAAGAGAGACTAAAACAAAAATCTGTGTCAATCTGTCCCCTAAACTGGTATGATGGAAAGAGGTTCATATTAGAATAAGGAAATCAGGATTTTAGTTCTAACTCTATCAATAAATATGTGATCTTAGGCAAGTCACTATCCCCTTTTCTTAATTTTCCTCATCTATAAAATGAAGGCATACAATTTCATCATTTTTTAAAAGTCCCTTTCGGCTAAAGAAATTTATCATTCTCGAGGACACTGAAATATTGCAAAGGTACTACTATAAAGTAAAAATATTATTTTCTTGCATGGTTTATAGAAGTAGTGGAGGCCTCATCATGGCATAGACTCATTTTTTTAATTTGTAAGAGCAGTTGCTTTTAGGTTACAAGTTGATTTTATGACAGAAGCTGTTGTCTAGTGCTTAAACATGAATGACCGTAACTAGAACAAAATGTATGAAAAATTAATTTAACCAAACATACAATGAAGTCCCAGACATAATAAAGACTTAGGAAAAAAAGAATTAAGGGGATGAATTATGTCCAGAGCTAAAGTTTTCAACTGCTATGAAAAGGCTAAAAGCAGATAGGTATTTATGTTGATGAGCAAAATGGTAATTAAAGAGCCAATTAAATAGGTGCAAAGGCCGGTGTATCAGTTTGGGTAAATAAGTGACTATAAGAATCATAAAGCTTAAATTAAAAAAAAAGAATCATAAAGTTAAAATTAGACAATATTACTAAAAAAAATATTCTGACGTGAAGATTAGATCATAAATTGACAAAGTGCACATATTCTAAGTTTTCAAATTAGAAAAGAACCACTGCTGTTATTGCTATTGTTATTTTTAGTGCTGGGGTAGAAGGACTCAAAGAAGACTAGTATTTGTTGAGTACCTGCATAGTGCCAGGTGTTTTACATATATTCTCTACTAATCTTTCTTAATAATGTTTTTATTATGGAGATTAACTTCTAAACAGACACTTCTATGGGGTAGATGTCCATCAAGAGTAAATATTGTGGTTCCCAATTTATAGATGAAGAAACTGAGGTCACAGGGATTAAAGAACTTTTTAAAAGTCATACAGCAAAACAACAGTTGGGGATCAAACTTAAGTTTAAATGTTTCAAAGTGAATCATAAAGTAATGATAAAACATAATGTTTACATATATCCTGAAAGTATCAAAAACTAGATAGAAGAAAGAACAACTCAAACATAGTTATTACAACATTTATTCTTCTGTCATCAATGGCCCTGTGCACATGTACATACCTCCAAATTTGCTCTGTATTGTTGAATTTATTTTCTAAACTTATTTTTAAAAATTGGTTCAAACTGACTCCTGGTCATTCCAAAACTTCAATCTACCTTCAAATGCTGAAGGTCTGTCTCCTCATTTTACAAATAAGAAAACAGGGGTTCAGAAAAATGAAGTGATGTGACCCAGGTAACTCCAAAACAAGATTTCTAAAAATATTTCAACCAGTGTCAGAATTATTAGCAAAAGCAATCTTAAATGTGGCTTCCCTGAGAGAAAGAACACTAATTTGATTGGCATAATTTTAGAAGCCAGTCTTTCGACAACACGGCGTAACAGAGGGGTGAACAGCAAAGACTGGAGGCTAGAATCAGACTGCTCGGGTTTGAATCTCAGTTCTGCCACTCACCAGCTATTGAACCATGGTTCTGTGTTCTGATCTGTAAAATGACAATCTTCCTTACAAGGTTGTCTGGAGAACTAAATGATTTAATGCTTAGAACAGTGCTTGGAGTATTAAGTGGACTCAATTGATTGGAAACCATTATTATGGTTACTCTCTAGTCACATCTCAAAGGCTCAGCCAGACAAATGCTAGAAATGACTGTAGGCTGCTCACACTCTGGAGGAGTGAGACTCTAGCCCAGAGTACAGTCCCAGCTGGGAGGGTCACAATGACTTTGCTGAGTCAGGGAAGTAGGTGGTCGGTCCATGGTTCCAGAAAACCGAATGGAAGGGTTTGGGGAGGTCTAACCAGTTTCAAAAGGATTCTGGCCCAGCCAGGATCCCCCAAATAACTGGAATGAGTCCCCAAAAGGGCAGCATTGGTTCAGTTTAGCCCCATCTGGAGTTTCTAACACAACAGAATTGCTGTGTGACAGAATGGCCTGTGTGTGACCCAGAGGTGACCAGGAATGCTAATTCAAACCTTCTCCTTAGAATTATGTTTTACTGTGATTAAAATACATTTAAAAATTTCAAAGAATACACAGATAAATCTCCCAAGTAAGACTGTTCCACAGAAATCAAGGACTTGGTCTGTTTTGTTTGCTATTAAACCTGTGGCATCACCGAATAGTTGATGGCACATAGTAACCACTCATTAATGTCTTTCTCAAAGGATGAATTTCCAGAAAATACATTTTTGTCACTGTTGAATTAACCTTTCCCTTCTTTCCTTCTCTGCCCAATGAAATTGCATTTAAAGGAGAAATGCATTGTCTGATATCACTAGCAGTAGTCTCAGATATGGTAATAAGGAATGTATATTTTAAAATTGTGATTTTTATAGATTTCAATCCAATCTGTGTAACAGAAGCTGCTAATTACTGATAATTGAGAAAACACAAGATTCTGATAATGTGGTAACTTAAGATGTATTTTAAAAGTACATTAACCCATACAAAACACAATAACATTTTACATATAATCTTAAGACTTTTATAGAAATTAATTTTCCCAAAATTTATTTTCCATGTAACTTAAGTTAAATAAAATCATAAGAATATGGATTCCACTAACTTAGAATTTGTGACAATTCAAATACAGTATAAATATTAGCTTTACACTTAGTAAAAAGTTTGGTCATATCTGTTCCTTTGGGAATACTGCAGGGTCTTATTTTGTTCTATTAATTAAGGGGTCAAAAAGTGAGATTCCTCAAATATGCCCAAATCTTATATTATCATGACTCTCTAATATGCAATTTGGCCAACTATGAATTAAAATAACATCTTTAACATATTTCATTTTATCTGCTAATATCATTTTACTATTTTGGCTTTAATGTGTATGACTTAGAATAAAATAACATGCTATCCCTTTAAATAACTTATGGTGTAACTTGGAAGAACAATGGACAACTGGAAATGGAAGTCTAATACTGTGTAACTTTAGCCAAGGCACTGAACCTCTCTGTGCATCAGTTTTCACATCTTTAACACAGAGATGATAATACTAGTCATCACAGAAATGTCAAAAAGATCAAATAAGAATATACATATATAAGCATTCATTTGTTTTTAATTTTAAGAAGATTATAATTTGGAGTTTTTTTAAAAAAAGATTGGCTTTCCCTCAAATATTCTGAATTAGTACGGAACAGGCCTTAAGCCTGGTTCTACTTGGCTATCTTTTCTGAGTTAAGTTTTTAGGTTTAAGATTTAATCATACCTGGTGGCAACTGAGGTTATAATCTTGTTGGAATATTTCCTCCAAATCCAAATTGTTTCAACACAGGAAACACACACACACAAAATTATGTAAATGTGAAGCCTGTGAACACCATGATAATTTACTTCAACTTACTCTTTTTTCCTACGACCGTGGAAAAAACTGGCCCATTCAAAGCAAGTCTTTTTGCTTCCAACCCAAAAAATGGAAGGAATACCAACTATGAGAGCCATCAAGTATTTCATCAGAAAGAGAATCAGATCTGGACGACTCATTTGAGTAACCTACAAGAAGGGAAAGAAGAGTATCTTAAATATATAAATAGAAATTTCTATTAAAGACCACTGTAAAATCTTTTTAAATAAATAGTAAAATAATTATACAAATCTGATGTTTGCACTTACACAGTCCCATGATTTTCTCATTATATGGAAAAGATATACTGCTGAAAATTTGACAATGACTATATATACTATAGCCTGAGTTCTATAATTTTCTTACTAGCCCATATTAGATACTGTCTAAAGGAAAAGATTACTAATATAGAAAATAAACCATGAATAGGAATAGAGGCTCAAATAATACCTATATTCTTCTTGGCCAATTCTGCTCATCCTATCATTGGTTATCACAATATACAATTAGGAAAGTGTTAATCATTTCCCCCATTTTATTAGCTTCTGTTCTTTTATTTAATATGCGCCTCCTTTCATGTCTGCTTTGCTGGCTGTTTTCAAGCTTCCTCTTTAACCTATGAGTTATTTATAATACATTTTTTAGTTTCTATTCAGGTGAATTTTTTTAAAGATTTTTTTTTTTTATTATTGATTACAAGTTAAATTTTTATAGTCACAGAATGTAGTCTACTTGATTCTGGTTACCTTATATTTTGGAAACTTCTTTTGTGATTTAGGACATAGTCCATTTCTTCAAAGTACTTGTGTGCTCAGAAATAAAGTACTTGTGTGCTCAGAAATAATGTACCTATTTGTTAGGTACAAAATTTTCTATATGTATTAGACCAACTTTAATAGTTGTGTTGTTCAAATCTTCTATATAGGCATTCTCAAAGATACTGTAAGTCTGGTTCCATACCACCACAATAAACACATACCATAATAATGTGAGTCATGGGGATGATTTTGTTTCCCAGTACATATAAAATTTATGTTTATATTATAATGTAGAATGTAGTATCTACTCATAAGAGTCTAAAAAACAATGCTCATGTCTAAATTAAAAAATATTTTATTGCTAAAAAATGTTAACCATCACTTGAGTCTTCAAGTGAGTCATACTCTTTTTGTTGTGGAGGGTCTTGCCTCGATGTTGAAGGCTGCTGACTGATCAGGGTGGTTTCTGTAGGATAGGATGACTGTGGCACTTTCTTAAAACAAGATAATAATGAAGTATGCTGCATCCATTGACTCTTCCTTTCATGAGAAATTTCTCTGTAGCATGAATTACTGTTTGGTAACATTTTACCCAAAGTAGAATGTCTTTCAAAACTGAAGTCAATCCTCTCAAACCCTGATTCTGTTTTATCAACTAAGTTTATGTAATATTCTAAATTCTCTGTTATCATCTCATCAATCCTCACAGCATCTTCAACAGGAGTAGACTCCATTAAGAATCTAAGATTTAAGAAAATTAAATCATTTTCTTAATGCTCACCCATGACAAGCAACTTCTCATCCATTAAAGTTTTATCATGGGATTGAAGCAATTTAGTCACATCTTCAGGTTCCACTTCTGATTCTAGTTCTCTTGCTATTTTTCTACCACATTGGGTGTTATTTCCTCCACCAAAGTCTTAAAGCCCTGCAAGGCACCATGAGGGTTGGAATCAACTTCTTTCAAACTCCTACTAATATTTATATTTTGACCTCTTCCCTTGAATCATGAATATTCTCAATGGCATCTAGAATGGTCTATCCTTTCCAGGTTTTCACTTAACTACCCAAATCCATCAGAGGAATCACTATGGTAGTTATAGCCTAAAAATGTATTTCTTATGGGACTTCTCTGGCAGTCCAGTGGATAGAATTTGGCACTTTCACTGAGGTGACCAGGTTCAATCCCTGGTCAGGAAATTAGGATCCTGCAAGCTGTGAGATGTACCATTCCCAAAATATATTTTTTTCCCCAAAATGTATTTCTTAAATAATAAAGCCTTGAAAGTTGAAATTACTCCTTGATCTATGGGCTGAAGAATGGATGTTGAGAAGGTAGGCATTAAATAACATTAATCTTGTACATCTCCATCAGAGTGCTTGGGTGACCAAACGCACTGTCAATAAGCAGTAATATTTTCAAAGGAATCTCTTTTTTCTGAGCATTAGATCTCAATAGTGGGCTTCCAATATTTAGTAAACCATGTTGTAAGCAGATGTGCTGTCACTCATGCTTTGTTGTTCCATTTACAGAGCACAGGAAGATTTAGCATAATTCAGAATGGCAAATGAGCATTTTGTTGTTGTTCAGCTGCCAAGTCATAGCCTACTCATTTGAAACCCCATGGACTACAGCCCACCAGGCTCGTCTGTCCATGGAACTTCCCAGGCAAGAATACTGGAGTGGGTTGCCATTTCCTTCTCCAGGGGATTTTCCCAACTCAGGGATCAAACCCACGTCTCCTGCATTGGCAGGTAAATTCTTTACCACTGAGCCACCAGACCAGCTACATTAGCCCCTAACAAGAGAGTCATCCTGCCCTGTGAAGCTCTCAAGGCAGGCACTGACCTCTCCTCTCTAGCTATGAAAGTCCTGGTGGCTGCTTCTTCCCATAGAAGCCTGTTCTGTCTACACTGAAAACCTATTGTTTAGAACAGCCACCTTCATGAACGATCTTCTGGATAAACTGCTATAGCTTCTACATCAGCACTTGCTGCTCTGCCATGAACTCTGATGCTACAGAGATGACTTCTTCCCTTAAACTTCACGAAATCCACCCCTGCTAGCTTCAAACCTTTCTTCTGTGGCTTCCTCATCTCTCTCAGCCCTCACAGAATTATAGTTAGGGCCTTGTCTTAGATTAGGCTTGGGCTTAAGGGAACACCATGGCTGGCTGATCTATGCAGATCCCCAAACCTTCTCCATATCAGCAATAAGGCTGTTTTGTTTTCTTATCATTCATGAATTCACCGGAGTATCATTTTCAATTTACTTTAAAAACCTTCCCTTTGGATTCACAACTTGGCTGTTGGGCTCAAAAGGCCTAACTTTTGGCCCGTTTCAACTTTCAACATGCCTTTCTCACTAAGCTTAATCATTTCTAGCTTTTGATTTAAAGTGAGAGGAATGCAACTCCTTTCACTTGAACCCTTAGCAGCCACTGTAAGTTTATCTGATTTTAATATCAAGGTCACTGGTTTCAATATCATTGTGCCTAAGTGAATAGGGAGGCCCATGGAGAGCCTTTTATATGTAAACCCACCCCCCAAAATTGTGTGACTTGTTTTATTGTGATATTTGCTTTATTGTAGTGGTCTGGAACCAAGCCTGCAATATCTCAGAGATATGCCTCTTATGCAAGTGTTACCAAAATGTGACACAGGGATATGAAGTGAGCAAATGCTGTTGGAAAAAAAGGCACCAACAGATTTGCTCAACACAGGGTTGCCATGAACCTTCAATTTGTAAAAACTGTGCTGTCTGCAAAATAAGAGTCCGAAATGCAGTACCTGGATGCAATCTCAAAAATGACAGAATGATCTATTCGTTACCAAGGCAAACCATTCAATATCACAGTAATTCAAGTCTATGCCCTGACCGGTAATGCTGAAGAACCTGAAGTTGAACGGTTCTAGGAAAAACTACAAGACCTTCTAGAACTAACACCCAAAAAAGAAATCCTTTTTATTATAGGGGACTGGAATGCAAAAGTAGGAAGTCAAGAAACACCTGGAGTAACAGGCAAATTTGGCCTTGGAGTGCAGAATGAAGCAGGGCAAAGGCTAACAGAGTTTTGCACGATAATGCACTGGTCAAAGCAAACACCCTCATCCAACTATACAAGAGAAGACTCTACACATGGACATCACCAGATGATCAATACTGAAATCAGATTGATTATATTCTTTGTAACCAAAGATGGAGAAGCTCTATACAGTCAGCAAAAACAAGACCGGGAGCTGACTGTGGCTCAGATCACGAACTCCTTATTGCAAAATTCAGACTTAAATTGAAGAAAGGAGGGAAAACCACTAGACCATTCAGGTATGACCTAAATCAAGTCCCTTAAGATTATACAGTGGAAGTGACAAATAGGTTCAAGGGATTAGATCTGACAGACAGAGTGCCTGATGAACTATGGATGGAGGTTCGTGACACTGTACAAGAGACAGGGATTGAGACCACCCCCAAGAAAAAGAAATGCAAAATAGCAAAATGGTTGTCTGAAGAGGTCTTACAAATAGCTGTGAAAAGAAGAGAAGTGAAAAGCAAAGGAAAAAAGCAAAGATATACCCATTTGAATGTAGAGTTCCAAAGAATAGCAAGGAGAGATAAGAAAGCCTTCCTCAGTGATCACTGCAAAGAAAACAACAGAATAGAAAACACTAGAGATCTCTTCAAGAAAATTAGAGATAATAAGGGAACACTTCATGAAAAGATGAGGTCAATAAAGGACAAAAATGGTACGGACCTAACAGAAGCAGAAGATATTAAGAAGAGGTGGCAAGAATACACAGAAGAACTATACAAAAAAGATCTTCACAACCCAGATAATCACAATGGTATGATCACTTACCTAGAGCCAGACATCCTGAAATGCGCATCCTGAAATGCGTAGTGATGCTTAGGAAGCATCACTACGAACAAAATTAGTGGAGGTGATGGAATTCCAGTTGAGCTATTTCAAATCCTAAAAGATGATGCTGTGAAAGTGCTGTACTCAATATGCCAGCAAATTTGGAAAACTCAGCAGTGGCCATAGGGCTGGAAAAGGTCAGTTTTCATTCCAACCCCAAAGAAAGGCAATGCCAAAGAATGCTCAAACTACCGCACAATTGCACTGTCTCCCACGCTAGTAAAGTAATGCTCAAAATTCTCCAAGCCAGGCTTCAACAATACTTGAACTGAGAACTCCCAGATCCTCAAGCTGGATTTAGAAAAGGTAGAGGAGCCAGAGATCAAATTGCCAACATCCGTTGGATCATCAAAAAAGCAAGAGAGTTCCAGAAAAACATCCATTTCTGCTTTAGTGACTATGCCAAAGCCTTTGTGTGGATCATAACAAACTCTGGAAAATTCTTAAAGAGATGGGAATACTAGATCACCTGAC